GGTCCAGCTCCTTGGGGTACGGGGGAGCAATCTTCTGGTTGTCCATGTAGTAGGGGATAGTGAAGGTCTCGACGCCGGTCTCGTTGAAGCTCAGGTAGGCAACGTACTCTCCGTCAGGGGAAAACCACAGAGTGCTGCGACCACCGAAGATTTCCTCCTCGTAGACCCAGTCGGGGACGCCGTGGAACAAATCCGGGCCACCATCGTTGGTAATTTGAGAGACGGTGCCGTTTTTGCTGAGGTAGAGGTTGTTGCCACGAACAAATGCCTGCAATCGTGTAAGCTGGGAGGTTGCAAGACCGTGCTCAGTCGGCCAATACTTACAATGGCGTCGCCGACAGGTGCGAATTCAGCATATTGGACATCTCCGAGCGCCTCGGGCAGCAAGGGCTGGAGGGCGCCGGACTCGACGTCCAAAATGGAGTAGTCCGCAAAGTACGAGTAGCGGTACTGCTTGGTGTAGTTTGTGGCGAAGAGCACCTTCTTCAGGTCCGGGCGGATCCAGTACTCATGTACACCAGCGGGGAACTTGTCGGCAGACACAAAGGTTTTGTTATCGCCTGAGATGATGTCCACGATGACAAGGCCGGCGTCGTCCTGTTCAATGTAGCGGCCGTCGTCTGTGCCGGAGAGCCAGCTGACGGAGCGGGCGCTGGCACCGAAGCGGGGAGAGACGACGGTCTCATTCCAGGTGACAATCTTGTCGCCGCCGCCGGAGGGCTGGTGGGGCTCGCGGTCAATGGCGGTCGCGACGCCCACGAGAAGAGCGGTGGCTGCCGCGACGGCGTTGAAGAGACGCGCCATTGCTGTCTGCGGTGCTTCGTTCTGAGCGGAGGAGAAGCGGCGCGAATCGGGTCGAAGAGGTTGGCGGAGAAGGGGAGCGAGAAGCGGAGAGTTCGAAAGGAAGACGGGTCACGCCGAAAAGCAACCCTGGGGCTTTATAGCTTCCCGGACGATGGTTGACGAGAACCCCGGACGGCAGGTGCAGCGGTCGTGCGATTGAACGGGGGCAGTCGCGATGGTGCGCATCAGGCAGGTCGCATTGCCTGTTGCCGGTGCTGGTGCTGGTGCTCCACGAGGACGAGGATTAATGGAGTTTGGCGGTCCAACTGGCGGTCGCAGCAGCACAGGTTCATGGCGATGCATGTCGTGCTCGGAGTGCCAAGACGACTTAAGATTGGAGCTTCGCAGCTTCAATGACGGTCGTTGGTCTCGGCAGCGACTGTGAGTGGTTGCTTTGGCTCAGAAAAGGTTGGCTGGGGGCATGGAAGCAAGCTGCAAAAGAACCCGGCCCGGCGGACTACTCCCAGCGTCCATAACGACCTGCCAAAGTTGGTCTGATAATCCAGCTCCCAAGACTCTGTTGTAAATTGGATTCTGAAAGTGCCGCAGAGTAAACAGCGAGAGATTCAATCATTCGCTGCTGGGGATGCGGCATCGGGGCAAGAAGACGCAGAAAACACGAGCACGCGAAGAAGAGCCAAGTTGCCAAGACCAAACACCGCGAAGCTGCAGTGGGCAAAATGACCTAGTTTAATGCCGCTTCGGGAAGGTTGCACCTCGAACGGAGCGGACGGGCGGGGACCGCTGCATACCAAGATGGGTACGGACAAGTACTCTGTACTCACTCTGCAGTGGTGAGAGGAACTGACTGTGTGTTGTAGTATTGCTAGCGAAGGTGCACGCGTACATACATACGGGAGGAAAGGAATAAGAAATGCCAAAGGGCGGGCACTGGCATCACATTGGAATGCGGGCAGCCCGGTCTCCCCCACCGAGCGAGCGATCGAGTGTTGCACTGCCGGCGGCACTCTTCATTTAGTGTTCCATCTTGCCTACTTTCAGTACTTTCACTGCCCTAAGCAACCTTGGTGTGAGGGAGAGTTGCGGGTACTCAAAGTAAGGTATGTAGGTTGCTGATGCAAGGCACTGAGTTTATCGCGTGGTCGACGGGCATTTCAGATGGTGCAACCATTGATTGACTGGAGCCTGGACACTGGGGACATGCAAGCACTCACTCTCCAGTCACACCGAGTCTTTTCACTCACACTTTACTTACTACTAACTTACTAGGTGCTCTCATCAGATGAGGGGCATCTCATCTCACTCCATGATATGATGTGAGAGCTGATATGAGAGTGTGTGAGTAGGTAGGTACATGGTATGTACCCCCCAGCTTAGAAATCCAATGAACGAACCCCATGTTATCTCACCTTTCTTTAGAAATAAGTGGCCAGAATCAAGACATCGTTGGCTCGAGGCTTGCTTGCACGTTTGCTGGCACGGTCTGTCTTGGAATTCTCCCCGGCCGCCGAGGCTAAGCGTCTTCAGTCCCCCCTACCTTACTTTTGCCTTACCTTGAGGTACCTTGTGTAGGTAGGTAAGGTAGGTGAGCACGGTGGCCCCCGCCCAGCCGGAAGACCAACGGATGCTCCCCGGCCCGCCGCCAATGGAGCGTTTCCCCCGCTGGTATCGTGCCGTGCCACCTGCCCGCCGGACTTAGTGTCAGATCGGCGCGTCTTCGGCACCTCGGGGCTCTTTAAGCCGCCAGCATTGACTCTTGAAGTTTTGAAGGCAGCCCCCGTCATTGGCCGCCCACCTACCCGAACTCACTCACGCCTGCCCTACCCCGTACTGGCGCTTCTCACCTCTCACCTCTCACCTTCGGTGTGCGCGACATCAGACACACCACGCCATGCATCACTTCGCTTCCTCACAGCTGGCAGCCACGCTTTCCACCGCTCTCAATTGCCGTTCAACTTGATCATGCCACGCGGGTCAGAACGCCTTTGAACCGTCAGAATGCGAGCAATCCTCACTCGACCAACTGAGACACACTCAGCCACCCCTCAACGCTGTCAAATTCAATGCAGAGATGGGTGTTCAGCTAACCAGGGACCACCACCCAGAGACAAGGGACATTCCACAAAAGAAATACCGCCCTAGCGGCAGTAGGAATATCTCCCGCAGCTCACCACCTACCTTCATATCACCACACACACTTCAATAGTTGTCAACCCTGGCCGCGCATCCACAAATCGACAACAACATTCGCCTCTAATCCTCCCCGTACCCCCCGGCCGGCCCTGCGTGTCCCCGAGATGGGTCCCCGCCCAACAATAAATTAAATCAAGAAGAAGAGTAACATCAGAGATCGCCCGCGACTCACCGGAATTCCTCATAGGGCCCTGCCCCCCTCCCAGACACGACCAACACAACCTTACTCCGTACAGAAACCACAGAACGTCCACTGGTGATCCTCCAATCCCTCCCCCCTGGTAGAGCACTCCAGGCCCTGTTGTCTCATTCCCGTGTCTTACGTCACCCACTGAAAGGAAGAAAAGGCCCATCGATGAGATGTGACAACAATCCCACCCACGCTCTAAACCCGTCCGGGGGAATGAACAGCCATCGACAGCAACGACCCGATCTCCCGCCTGCATATTCCCCCAAGCCCATTCTCGATTGGATTCTCGATTGGATTCTCGATTGGGAGTGGAGCCCTTGCCTTGACCACATCTTGAGTGCTCACATATTTCCGGCGGGGATCAGGATCCAAGAGAAGACTACCGTGCCATCAGATGGGGCAAGCTCTGCGGACGGAGGAATTCTGCTGGCATCCCCTGCATATAGGGGTATTTTTGCAAAAGAACTCTGCATCGGGCCAGCCTTGCTAATCCAGGGTTCTGCCGAATGATACCCGATACGGGAAGATCTAGGCATGGCAAGGACAAGAAGGACGACGAGGAAGAAGAAAAGAACAAGTCCAAACAAAATGGCAACATCACACGGTGATCCCGCTAAGGGCCGTATCATCCCGCATCCTGTCAGATATCAGATGTGAGCAAAATCAGAACCAGCTGCGGGACGAGACGACGCGCCCTTGTGCCCATACCACCAATCACCTCCCGCCTAGTGTCATGCATCCTGCCCACCGACCGATTTGGTAGACACCTCGACACTGTCCATGGCGCTTCGTGATATCATCTTACGCCCGCCTCACTTTGCCAGCCAGCCAGCCAATTCCCCAAACGCCCCCCAAGAGCCAAAACCAACAGTCCACGGTCATATGATCGGTGTCAAGGCGACAGGGTGAGACAGTCGACGACATACCATCACAAGCCCAGGACCAAAGGAAAGAATTGCTGGAGGACTTAGCCCCGTGGGGGGTAGGGCAGGAAGGGTAGTAGCGTCGTTGGCGATATGCCATCACTGCGCCTTCTTGGGACTCTGTTGCGAGAGCGAAAAAGTCTCACACCCGGGACTCGGGGGGAGTTGAAAGGAACACGTTAGCCACCCCCTGGGCAGAGTTTCTTTCCATCACCCGAACCTGTTCCTCCTTTTCCATTATCAACCCTCGGGCCTGCATGCCAATGTCGCAGTTTCCGTCTGCCTGGTAAATTAAACCCTTCAAGCACCCGTCAAACCCCATCACGCAGCACATCTTGCCTGTCACAGAACAGTCAAATCGAAGGAAAAAGCATCTTGGATACTACCCCTCCTCAACAACGATGATCCCACCGGATGGGATGGAACATTACATTGTTTCCAATCACAGCTGACCACCGCCCAATGCCTCTCTATTCACCGAGTTGTCAAAGGTAAGGCGAGAACCAAAGAAGAGCCAAAGAAAAGAAAAAACAAAGTTCACTTCTTATTCCCGGAGTCTTTGATCCGGGTTACACTCGACTTGGTTCACCATACTGACTGAACTATTCGAAGCTCAGACTCTCTGTCCTGCAGTGAATCAACTACATTCGGGCCTCCTACGAAGAGCTTTCTTATTTGAGAAGAGTTGTGGAATGCTTGGGACGAGGGGGGGAGAACCAACCAATCTGTATCTCCATCCTTGCCTCGCCCCTGACCACTTCACCCCGTCTGCACGCCCCCAAAAGACGAAGAAGACAAAACCTAGAGAAAGTCCCAACTCGAGATATCCCAAAATCCGCCAGCTTACACGCAACCTTACTCACCTCTTTTTCCTCCCCCCCACGGTCATCATGACTGCGGAAAGCATGTCTCCTATTAGGGAGGACTACATCCGTCAGCTCACCCCTTACACCGCCTTCCTCGCCGCCCTCCACGCCGCCGGCTGCCCTGCCGCAGCCTTCGACCTCGTCCATTTCTCCGACCTCATCCACATCGGCCGCCTCCCGGGCAAAACCGGCGCCCGGACCGTGACCCACCCGTCCTTCGCCGCCCCCTTCGTCTTCAAGGGCGTCAACTTTGACGTCGCCCGGCACGACTTCCGCGAGCACGTCGAGAAGACCCTCCTCCACGAGATCCGCACCCTCTGCACGCTGCCGCCACACCCAAACATCATGCCGCGCCCGCAGATCCTCGTCATCGTCCCCGACGGGGACGCAGACCGCATCTGCGGCTTCCTGCAGCCCGTCATGGCGCGCGCCAGCGTCGACGAGCAGGTCCTCCGCGCCAACAAGGCCAACACCCGCCTCCCGCTCGGGCTGCGCGCCAAGTGGTGCTACCAGATGGCCCTCGCGATCCAGCACACGCACCAGGTCGCGGGGACCTACCACATGGACCTGAAGCCGGGCAACATGCTCGTCGACGGCGACGACAACGTGCGGCTGATCGACTGGGAGCAGAGCGGTGTGTCCATGTTCACGCACCCGCCCGAGGTGGCCATCGACCAGGAAGCCGAGGAGTCCGCCGTCCTCAAGAACACCACCAAGAACAAGCCGCGCATCATCTACACGCCGCACGAGGGCGCCCCGCGCAAGAACCAGAAGTGGGGGTTCCCGGACTGGAACGTGTTCCCCGAGTGGAAGCGGACGTGCCCGCGCGCGGCGGAGCTCGCGGAGGTGTTCAGCCTGGGGCGGACGATGTGGATGCTGCTGGAGCAGGTGGAGCAGTCGCCGGACGCGGCGGTGTGGACGGAGGCGTCCAAGGACGTGCCGGCGGCTTGGAAGGCGATGGTGATGCGCTGCATCGAGCGGGACCCGAACGACCGGCCGGAGCTAGACGAGGTTGTGGCGTTTTGGGAGAAGCAGGTTTTTCATGATTTGGACTAGCAGGGCGTCAACGGAGCGAGCGGGTATTCACTCGTTTTGGGGAGAGGACTGATTTCCTCCCCGTTGTATTATTATGGTTATGATGTTTTGTTTGGATACATATGACAAGCGTTTGATGTTTTTGAAACTAGAATGATTGATACCTTAATTGCTGGTGTCCCGGATTTCCCCACACTGTGCTTGAATATTCTAGCTAGAAAGAAAGTGCAAGTCACCATGAGTATCACGGATTAGGGTTTCCTCGGCTGCAAAAGCTGTGTAAGACAACGCCTAAAGAGTTTGAAAATATCACTGGTCAACAGTAGGAGCAATACAATACGTGGACGTCGCTCCCACCGATGCGTCATCTCATGGACAAGGGTTCTGGCGATAACACATGTTATTCCCCAACAGTGCTTATTCAAACCATTCTGTTGGAAACGTTGAAGGTAACAAGGACTTGACGGGGTCTCATGTAAAGTCTCACGAACTAATCCGAATTGCTCGTCTTCATGGTACTTGTGTCTGGCATTAAGCGAGGAGGCAGGAGTCGCCCTTCATAACCTTCGCGATCTTGCTTTTCCACGCCAGTTGCATGATACAAAGGTCTAGATCCACAAACAGTATCCATTCCATCCAGGTGATCGAAGAGAACCTCGCGCATTGTAATCCCACATCGACAAAAAGCCGTCGTCGCCAACACCCATTCGGCTGAGAGATACCCGTGTGATCCTCCCCTGAAGCGGGTTCATGATGCACATCCGCATTATCCGCAAACGACACACCCCTCGTGGACCCGACTAAGCCCCTTTCGCTATTCAGAATGCGCGCCGTGGGTATGATGGGGTGTGCGCCTTGGTACGCCGCGACTCTCTCTCCATGTTCTCGACGCGATCGTAATGTTGGTCCACATATGTCGGAATCAAGCTTCTCGCTAGGCCCCGTTGATGCTGCTTGCGCTGTCGGCCGAGAGCCCAGATTGTCTCCTTAAATGTTCGCCCAACTCTGACTGGGCGTCTCTGACCTATCAAGTATTGCGAATCCCGTCGAGGGAACATGGCGAAGTTACATGCGCTGGTCCAAATATGCCGTTCTTGGGCGTATTCTGGTAAGGACCCTTGTTATGCCCCGATCCCGACGATCGCTGGGCTCAACTCGCAGCGGCCTAACCAGCGCACAGGAGAGACTATCTAGATAAGGTACCGACAGTTAAAAGCTGCATCTATTGACATTGAACCCCACAAGAATCTGTTTCTACCCGATCTCTCGTACTTTTCGGGTATCCCAGATACGGAAACCAATTCGAAATCCCAGAATTAGGTCCAGCTTCTCTATGCCCCGGCGGTTGAACATTTCTCATAAGTTTCGTCGTCGTGGAAATAGGGCTTACACACGAACGTTTCTAATCGTTCATGAAGAGGAGAAAGTAAAACGAAAGTTGAACATTAAATTGGTACTCAAGGACGACTATCGGTGGTGGCTTTAGGCCGAGACAACGCCCAAGTTAGTGGTTCCTCCCTAGCTTCTCCGTGTGTTCAGACACAATCGTTTTTTCTATAAGGCTCAGTGTAACTTCGAGTCTTTAATTCACGGCAAAGTCGGTTGTGGGATGCAAGGGTATTGCATAAGATGGTCTTTGCAACCAATCACAGGTTTTCGCAATTGCGGTCCGTAAACCCTGAGGATGCCGAATCAGGCTGGCATATCACTCACAAACTGCCAGCCAGCCTCATGCCTTTTCCTGAAATCACAAAGAACACAGGCTGCTGTTTGTTTCGCATTCTATAACACGGCATTCTCCAGCACAGATATAGCCTCGCCTACAACAGGTGTTTGGGGTAAAAGTCCGGACATCGCCATGGACGCCACTGGCGACCATTCACGAGATCCGCTCTGCGCTCTCTGCCAGAGATTCACGGACGATCTCATAGCCTCAGACTTTGGCCGCCGTTATGAGCTTCCCAGGGATGGTATGTGGACAGAGAAAATGATCTCGGGGAAAACTCATGGCTTTTCCGAATATGGTCCTGGCTTCATTCACCACAAGACTGCCAGTGATCTCGAAAACAGCGCTCAAGGCTGTGCTATGTGCCGCGCCATCTGGGACGGCCATCGCTCGGAACATCGACCGCAGGTCACTCATCTCGCTCTTTTCGCTGGATATTATTCAGTGAAAACGGAACCAAAACGCTCGATCTTCGCGACGTCGTTGGACGATCGGAGACCAGGTATTCAGGGTTGCTTTTTCGACATAAGCACAATACGTCCTTACGAGGGAGAAATTTCCTCCTTTTGCCTTTCAGATCGAGAAAGCAGGACAACGCCTGATTTCGCGCGAGCCATACCGGACAGTTCCATGTCAGTGGACTCATTCGAGACTGCACGATTTTGGATGAAGGATTGTATCGAGAACCACTCGACTTGCTCGACACCAGCACGCGAACTGCCAACACGAGTTATTGATGTCGGGACCATCCCGGGAGCTCCAGCATCACTGCGCATCACAAACAGTCTTACTGGGCACTATGCAGCTCTGAGCCACTGTTGGGGCGGGAACATCCCCTGCAAGATGACAATGGGCAATCTCGAAGCATATCAAGTTGCTCTCCCGATGCACGCCCTACCGCAAAACTTCCTTGATGCTATAACGCTTACAAGAGAGCTTGGCCTGCGGTATTTGTGGATCGACGCCATGTGCATTATACAAGACTCGGCAGCTGATTGGGCCACAGAAGCAGCAAGAATGGCAACTGTCTACAGCAATGCAAGAGTTACAATCTCAGCGTTGGACTCCCCAGGCAGCACCCATGGCTTCCTCGTCCCGAGGTCCCACAAAAGGGTCAGGTTGGGTCAAGGATTTATTTTCTCCGAACATCCATTGGACTACCTCCAAGCAGTCGAAGGAGGCCTGCTGAACAGCCGCGGGTGGTGCATGCAAGAGTGGGCATTGTCAAAGTTCACACTGTACATTGGACGCGAACAGATGTATTGGGAGTGTCCGACCATCACGGCTCGAGAGGACGGGATTCCTCATGACGCATACTACTACGCCACACCCATGAGCTTTGAGGTAGCGCGTAAAAACTTATCCCTCGGAACTACGACGAGCTTGCAACATTGGTATACAATTGTGGAAGAGTTTAGCAAAAGAAGTCTGACTTTTGGCGAAGACAAGCTGCCAGCGCTGGCAGGTGTTGCTAGTCGTTTCGGATCAACCAAAATTGGCGGTTCGTATGTTGCTGGGCTTTGGGCAGAGGAAATCTTCCAAGGCATTTTGTGGCGAGCGCGTACGTCTGGTGCGTATGGTAAGGAATTTCCTCCGCACCTGCGGTTACCAGCGAAGCCGCGGGCTCCAAGTTGGAGTTGGGCTAGCATTGATGGGGAAATACTGTTCCCTATGAGGGTAGGAAAGGTACCCTGGCAGCCGCATGCCTCCATCCAAAGCCTGCGGATCGATATGAATGTTGCAATGAACGACTTCGCGGCCCCAAAGGTTGAAGGCGCTTTGAAGCTGGGTGGACTCATCGCTAAGATGCGATATGCTCCTGGTAATAGGTCCAAGCGTAGTGATGCAGTTCACGAAGGCAGTCTAGCCTTTGAAGGAGAGACGCGTTACGGAGGAAGTATTACCATGGACCGTGACCGCGAAGTGGCACGGGATTGCTGGGCACTCGTCGTGGGGCAACGGCATACTGATATTCTCACTCTCGAGGAAGTGGGCCACAATAAGTTTAAGCGAATAGGATGTGGTTCGAGGGACTTAAAGTTACATGGCGATGACAGCTTCTTTTTGACGGATATTTCATTGATTTGAATATATGGGTGTACTGGGAGGGACTACTTCGGAGGTGCGGGAGATGCAGTCAAGTCGTTCCGAATATACTGTCAATCTGAGCAAACGTCATACTAGTCCTTGGGAGCCGGAGCAGCTTCCGAATCGTTGGCTAGAAGTGCTTCAAGCTCTGCTCCTCGTTTCCGCCTTTCCTCAAGGGAGATTTCTTGCTCAGGCGATGTTGACCAGCCAAGACCTAGTTCGGGATACTGGAGCGGGATTTCACCGTCGCGGGGCAGACTATCTAGGTAAATAGGCCACGGATTCCCCATCCAGGCATTGCTGGACTCATGATCCCGGCGTTGTTTTGATGTCAAAGGGTGAACAAGGACACTGAGTACTGTGTTAGAGCTAGACTTGGGCATTGTGATGATTGGCACTTTTCTCTGGTTATCTACGCACCTTAAGTTGCCTCGATTTGATGCCAAATAGTAGAAGACATCTGAAAATGATGAGTCGGGAACCCAGACTAAGTACGACTGATTAGCCTGAACACAGATGCGCTGATGTAATTTCAGGTCTACAAACTTTCGTACGATCCGGCGGGGTGAGGTCCGATAGGATACTCATTCACTCGGAACAGCGGGACAGCGACGAACGCGCCTGTGCATCAACGTCAGTGGCTGTACATCAGCATTGTGGTAGACCAGTGTTACCATCGCGGCGAAGCCTCAGCACAGCATCACGAAGCGCAAGCGCCCGCGCAGTCTCCGTGGGCGACTGCAGCAGAAAATAGATATGAAAGTGCCACTCCCGAGTCCGACTCTCGACGACCGTCTTCAAATCGTCCTGTGGCGCGGGCAGCGTGGATTGAGTGACCATGGTCATTCTGAGAGAGTAAACAAAACACAAACGTTCAAACTTTGTTGTTGTTGCTTTTCCCCGGCTTCTTTACGGAGGTGGAGGCGCGTTCGGAATGAAGTTAAGATTCCGGTGTGGCTGAGACTCCTCTCGGAAGTTGAACATGCGGAGTAAACAGCTGTTGGAGCACGCCATTAACGTGGCTTTTGCGTGCGGCGGCCGCGGGATGAGAGACGGACTCGGCTACGACCGGTTAGAGCGGAGCCGATGGAATCCGAGTCATGATTACTTTCGATTGTTGCACTGGAAAAAAACAGTCTTACCACTTTTTTCTGCTGCCCGGTTGTGGCCAAAATTGCGGGGTTTGTTCGTGACGCTGGTAGGTAGCACTGGTGAGAATGTTACCTATACTAGTTGTGATGCTCGAGGAATGGTGCACAACTGATCACGTGTGATCGACTGCAGAATGTTGGTGTCATATTACGAGGCAGCCGGGAATAAGAACAGAAAGACCCAAGGACATGGAATGCCATCAGAAGTTCGGACAATCATCTACTATTTGGTCTCAGCAAGGGCACTCTTGAGAATTCTGTCAATGGAAGGGATACAGAGCTCGTTGTATTTCTTTCCAGTCCGAGTTCGGACTCGTATCCAGCATCAACATCAAATTGGTATCAACACGTAAGCTGCAGGTTGAGATGTGTACGATTGCCAGGCGGGAGTCCCCGAGACATCAAATCCGAGACACAAAGTCGCATCTTGTGCGATAAGGATGCCCAATGCAGATGATCGACTCCCCCTGTCACGCCTGCCTTATCAGCTTCTCACACTAGCAGTACCCCGAAGCGGCAGACCATTCCAGAAGAAATTCCATGCCAAGTTGTCAGCATCAAAATACAACAGCAGGCAGAAACATCGCAATGACTCTGCATATTTACCACGCTGTGTCCAAAGGCTGTGCCAGGCGCCACTGAGCTATCAGGGTAAGACTTTAGAAATGACACTGGCCGATCACCGAGTATCTGGTCTCACGTTTCACAAACTTTCTGCGCATACACGGCAATATTTTGCATGTGATTGAGAGACATCAACTCGAACTCAATTCTTGTTGCGCGTTGGAAGGAATTCTGCTTGCGGGGATCGGTGTCGAAAGGTCTCACGACAACGATACAAACAAGAAACTGCATGTGAAGAAGGAGCATATGCCAACGGCTCGTCGATGATATAAGCTGAGATTCTGCCACGAAGCTTAGTTGTGTTTGGACAGGCTCTCAATCTCACCTGGTTCAGTCTTTAGTTGTTTTCTCAGTGATCCGAGATCACGACAACATCACCATGGCCTCCCCCGCAGCACTGACGGACAGCGTCGAGGTCTACGAGACCGTGGAGACGAACATCACCGAGACCATCGAGGTCACCTCCGTCAACAAGGCTGGTAGAACGCAAGTTGAGAAGGTCGTGGTCGAGCTGCCGGCATACCACACAGCCCCGCCATGGCAGCTTCTGTGGGATGACCTGAAGCTCTTCGTCCTGAAGGCCTACAAGCTTCCCGTCGTCGTGTTCCCGTTGGCCTACCCCCACCGCGGCCACACCAGATCCCCGCCTCTGGACCAGGCCTGGGTCCCCCACATGATCCGATTTGGCGCCATCAACCGTGCCGTCACCTACTTCCAGGAGAGGTTCCAACAAATCATCGACCCTCATTACCCCTCTGGTGAGATGGACGAGCTCTACCCCTCCGTCGGAAACCTCATCTGCCTGGCTGCTCACACCGTCCTGATCGCCACTCAACTTGCCTTCCTTTTGTCCCTCCCTTTCATCGCGACCTTCCCGTTCACCGCGGTCCTGCCTTACGCCATCGCCTTCGTCGCCATCAACTACCTCGCCTGCATTCCTCTTAACTCCGGTGTCAAGGGAGGTGTTCTCGAGTCCCACCAGATCCCCGAATCTGAGAACTGGGTTAAGCACGAGAACGAGAAGTGGATTTTCCTCAACGGTGTCTCCGTTGGGTAAGTAGACTAGTTTCCGTCGATGTAATTGCTTCGATCCTGCTGACACAATAAAAGCTCCCACTGGCTGCAGGGCAACCTGAACAGATTGTCCAGAACCTTCCACCGTCCCATCACTGGTGTCCACAACAAGACGTGAGTAACTTCAATTATATTAATCATGAACGTACGGCCTAATACATCGGTGACAGGGCTGGCGTCGTTTTCGACACGATCCAGTGTCTCGTGGAGAGATGCTTCTACTTCGGCACAACCGACACTAGAGAGTGCTACGCTCTTATCGCTGGAGCTGTTGCCGACCCCGCCAAGGACAGGGTCGTTCTCATTCTTCACTCTCAGGGCGGCCTTGAGGGCAGCATCATTCTTGACTGGCTCCTCTCCCACTGCGCCCGCAAGGATCTCAAGAAGCTTGAGATCTACACCTTCGGAAACGCTGCCAACCACTTCAACAACCCCAAGATCGACGAGGGCGAGTACGTCGTCGGACACATTGAGCACTACGCCAACGATGGTGACTTTGTCGCCGAGTGGGGTGTCACTCACTTCAAGTCTCTGATTTCCGAGCAGACCAAGGAGGCCAAGAACCACTCCAAGAAGAGCCACCGCCACAAGCGCCAGTCGCATGAGTCTGCCATTGCCAACATTCTTGGTGTCACCCCCAGACAGAACAACTTCAACGGACTTCTCTTCAAGAACAAGGGCAAGTGGGGCCACCTGCTTAACCAGCACTACCTCGACAGAATCCTCCCCCTTAACAACACCTTGACTGGTGTCGTTGAGGGCAAGGAGGGCAGGGGCCACAAGTACTTCCTTGATGCCACCATGGTTCAGGGCAGAGGCCTCCGCAAGGGCGATAAGAACAAGGTGGCTAATGACAGCAGACTCTGGCAATACATCAACGGCAGAGAGCCTGGCATGGTCAACGGAAACTAAAGAAGGCTTTCGTGAAGAGAAGGAGGACCAGTAGAGAGGGTGCTTCGGATTTCCTCTACCATGTCGAGTACAGCTCGCGAGGTACGGATTAGTGTTTCAACACATCCCCCCTTGACTACTCATGTCTTCAACAACACAACTCTCATTTAAACCTATTGCATTAATCTCAAAATACAAATTTGGCTTACGCCCCCAACTGATTATGATACATGAAATTTCAGCGGCCACCTCAGTGAGTCACTACGAAATCTTGAATGAGAAATAATTACAATTGAAACATCATGTCCTACGTGTACCTAACACGCTGGGGTGCCTTTTTTACAAACGAACTAGACAAACGTTGTCCCGTATCCTGACTGCTCACCAGTGAGAACATCAACCTCAAGTGGAGCTTCATAAGCGGCGCCAGACGCGCTGAATGCGCCGTCCAGAGCCTCGAATGGGATGTTCCTCCAAGTATCCTGAATCTTACGTGCGCTCCTCAAGAACTCTGTACGGACACTAGAGTAGTTGGCAGCCACTAGCTCGCGGTCCTTCTTGACAAACTTTCCGTCAACAAGAACATGCTGGATGTCACCAACGCTGGCGTGGAGAATCACTGCAGCGACAGGGTCGATCCATCCGAGCAGCGCAGGGCTCTCGCCATCCCAAACGACAACATCGGCCTTGGCTCCCTTGGCGATGACGCCTAGGTCGGGACGGCGCAGGGCGAGGCCGCCGTTGCGGGTGGCCATGAGGAAGGCCTGGTTAGCGGTCATGGGAGTGGAGGTGGGGACCTTCCAGTGGGCCAGGACCTGCTGGTAGAGTAAGCGGCGGGTGCTCTGTAACCAGAGACGAGCCTGGGTGAGGATGTCGGTGGAGAAAGTGAAGTGGGTGTCGACGCCGATGGCGGCTTGGTCCTGAATCAGGTGGCTGTTGGGGTGGGTGTGGCCGTAGTGCATCTCGGATTCTGGGGTGATGGAGATGTACTGGTTTGTGGAGCGGAGGAGAGAGGCGCCGCGGTAGGTCAGGAATGAGGCGTGAGAGAAGACGACGGGGATGCTGGTGTTGAGGGCACCGACTGCATGCAGGTCCTCAGGGCTGTTGGTGACTAGGGGAGCTATCAGTGACTTGGACTTAATTGAAGAGGAGGTTCAACGAATGACTTACTGCCCCAAGGCCCTTGAAGACTGTGAGTTGTAATGACCGAGACGTTGAACTCCCTAAGTGAATGTTAGCAAATGCCTCGAGGTTTTAGTCTTATGTTGAGAAATTTTACTTGGCAAGGTCGACGACAGCATTGACCTGGTCAAGGACTGGGTCGGGACCGAAGAAGTCGCAGGCAACACCAAGGCTTGTGGCAGAGCCATCAAACTCGGCCTTAGTTGCGATGTCTCTGAAGTTCGCCAGCTGCTCAGACACGGTGTAGTTGGTGACGTTATGGAAGGCATAAGACCAGAAGACCCTTGCACCGCTGTCGATGCTGCCCTTCAATCCAGCTTCTGCAGTGGCGTTGGACCATGTGTGATGAGCGTGGTCGAGGGTGGTAGTGACACCAGCATTGAGAGCCTCATAAAGCCCTGTCAACTGGCCGATGTAGACATCGTCGGGACTGAGAAGGCCAGCAGCGGCATATTCTCCGTAGCGGGTGAAGTATTCAGCGAGAGACGTGTTCGAACCGATGGTCTTGAAGGCAGTCTGCCAGCCGTGGCGATGAGTGTCGACGAAGCCGGGAGTTATGATCTTGTTGGTCACGTCCACAACCTGTGTCTCATTACCACTGGCGGGCTGACTAGAAGCCTCCTCGGCGGTGTAGATAGCCGTGATACGGTCGTCGGTGATGAGAAGAGAGCCGTTGCGGACAACGTTGAGCGAGTTGGTCTGGTCATCGAAGCCGACGATAGTGCCACCCTGTAGGAGGACCGACGAAGCGCTGGCCAGACCGACAGAGGCCGCTAGAGACGTTACCAAGTTGAGGGTATGCATGTTGAGTGAAGCCTGTTGCCGGTTTTCCTTCAAAAATGCCTTCTCTCGCTGCAGTCGGACGATGGAATGTGACTGAGCATCAGCGGGGCCGTTGACTTGTTTAAATACTTTCTCGGAGTAGCGCCATCCCCACACCATTGTTTGCTGATGCTAGTATTATCAAGATTCAGAATCTGAATTGGTACTTTGGGCAGCCGTAGAGCGATGTGGATATCCGAGCGTGCCAATCCGGCGCCTTCCGGGATGCCTGAACTAGCGAACGCTCAGCATTGGGTGAGATTCCTTGAGAAAAGCCAATCACTCCCAAGCTCCATCATGTGCCCGGCGTTTTTTGCCATCAGGTGGGGATCTAGAGAGCTGCCATCGGATAGCATTGTTGTGGAAAGGCGGAAGATGCGGTCATGGAATCCCCGGGAGGACACCACCATGGCCCAGAAAGACGTTTAGGTGGGTACCTGACATCGTGACCGCCGATGCTCTAATGCTTCTTGGTAGCTCGGACGCAGGCTTTAGCTTGTAGCTCCACAAATGGAGATTTTAAATGCGACGAACGCACTTTATTCCTGGTTGCTTACAGGTTCCTCTAATCATTCGTATTTATCATTAGCGGCCAAAGCATAACTTGACCTCTAGGCACCCATTCGGATTTAGGATGACGCGCCGTCTTACTGCTCGAGAGAGTAAGCTTGTTGGATTCGACAGTCAGTTTTTTCATAATCCGACCAATCAAACAAAAGACCCTATTCCTGAAGCAGAGATCCGTATTACTTCTCCTCGGATGTAAGGCGGTTTGGTTTCTGTCACCACGCTCCTGGTTCGTCTTGTGATGTTTTCCGGCAGGCTCGGATCATGTTTACTCTTCCTTCTTGGCAGCTTGCAATTGTGGTTCGAAACATTCGAACGCCCCCACACTCGTCAGCGCTGACTGAAAGTGGTTCCTCGGTTGGTGGCTGGCCAAAATGCATCGTCATCATCCGGCGGGAGAAGCGTGGTATTGGCGTGGAGGCGGGTGGAATCAGGTCGGTAAAGACCCACTACGGCAGTTCGCCGGACCCGCCCTAGAGTACCGGACCGGGATGTTGTGTGGCGCGCGATTATCCCCGGTATTCCTGTCCGAACTGCCGTAATACCGTTCCCGTCGTGGATGTTCTAGAAGGGAGAAGACTCCAAGGGATTCGTAATATCCATCCCGACGACTGCTTCCAGATCGATCTGCATTTCGCAAAGACTGACGTTATGGCTCCTGGCACACGAGTTTGGTGCCTGCCAAGCAAAATGCATGTTACCTTTGATATGTCAATCAACAGAAGGTTAAACTATGTGATAGTGCCAAGAGGTGTTGGAGGTCAATTATCTTATCGCAAAGTCAATCTTTTGCAACATGAAAGACGCATGTTGAGCCGGGTCCACCGCGACAACGCTTTCTCTCACTTGCACCCAAATGCTGGGTCCGACATTCTGGCCCCTTAGAGTTGCCCTCAACGTTGACGACGCTTACCATGAGTGACATCAACGGCAAGGGTAAAGTAAGAGCAGTCATAGTGGATGAGATCTTGCAGGACGTGACCCGAACAGGGGCCTAGGGGTTTAACGGACTTACGGACTTACGGATATCCACGCGTTCACAGCTATCGCGTGACACGGAGAGAAACATCGCCCTAGATCCTCGGTTTTGATAGCATTTTATCAAAAGATGTATGTAGGCCTTGATGCTCTTTTTGTTGTTCCCCTCGTTCTCGTCAGATTTAGTAAGTGCATCAATGTTCAACTCGGGAAAGGGGGACTAAGCAAACCCGGTTTTGCAGCTCAGTTTTCACTGCATTTGAAAACACCAACTCAACTCGTCAATGGAACATTCAACAATAGTCGTAGTCATGCCCGCGCATCTGCACGTCAAATTTGAGGATGTATAATTTCACGCTTCGTGGCCTCGTTGCACGTTGTAGAGACGAAGAGAGAGTACCGCCATTAAGAGTGGACGAACAAGAATCCGGGTTTCAGGCTGCATAGGGGCTGATGATGCTTCTAAGGAGCTTCCAAGCTGTCCACATCGAGCACTTTTGACCACCTTAGCGGCTGAAACAGTGATATCACACAGTAGAAGGATCATAGGGGCAGTGGAAAAGCAGGCGCAAGGAAAGGAGTTGAATGACAATGCATGATGGCAGAGGTGACAGAAAGTAGACAGAAAATCGGAAAGGAAGATGGCATTGGTGTGTCCAGTTAGTGCAATCTGGAGAACTTTACTTCGAGCATGGAATAGAAATCATTCATTCGAGAAAACTATGCTGCCTTCGCGGTCAACACATCAAGTTTTAATGTACGAAAAGGACTGCGATTTTCTCGAATGTTTGATAAAAGGTATAACTTGGCAGACCCATAAAGTTGTGAGGCTGCACATGAGGCGTTCCGCTCGGCTCCATCATATCGGCGCCACGCGGACAGACCGAGAAATTAAGATTTAACTTAAGCAGTCTTAGGCATCCATTTATTCGACATCAGGGTATATGGTGGCTAATCCAAGCTTCAAACTCCTTTGGGCACCTGGAGAGCACATCAGAATGCATACAAAGTCCGCATCTCCGCCACCTCTCAGTCTCTGAGCTTTCGCCGTGCACTCAATACCTTGACTTCTTTACAACGCGTGGCCTCTCTCTCAACGGTAGACGTTTCACGTGTCTGGGTTCGATAGCAGCCATAACCTTCGCTTTTACGTCCCCACCGGTGCAAAACACTCAACAAAACGTGTCGGCAACATCTACATCACAAACATCACGGAGAACGGCTCAACTCTGAGGATGTTTCCTTCGAAGGACGCGCCGCACTCAGCTGGGGAGCGTCTTATGATCCTCTCTGGCGCAGCGACATCTTGGCTATGGGTTGCCGGCATGTATTACAACCCATGGGCCCAAGTAAACATGTTTGTTATTACCTTTGGGATTGTATTTCTCAGTATCAGCTACCTTCTGTGTCTCATGGCCCTACTTATGCCGTTAATTGGAAATGGCTCCCATGTGGCCAACGCAAAAGCAGCCGCCGCAATCCTGGGATTCGGAATTTCCGGTTGTCTCGTTCTAGTCACCTCGGGATGGAGCGAATGGGAGTCACTGCTTCTGGTGCTACCAAGCCCGTATCTGTGTGTACTGCTTGAAGCCAAGACCTCAGTCCTAGTGGGCGTTTCGCGTCTGTTGACGGTTCTGTATGAAGGCAGGCCATTGCCCACTGGAAACAGACAATCTTGACAGGAGCCAGCAAGACACGAGGTTTTTCGCCCTAATTAACGCGCCCAGTGCAAAGGGAAGGCAAACGAACAGAGCAGTGACAAATACAGGGTTAACAGGGAGAGAAGTTGAGATGGTATGGAAATTGGCAGGGGTTTCTTTTCAATCTCTATGTTGCGCAACTTGCTTGAAACAACACTCAACCACCTTCGTGAGGAATGTATGGTGTCTTCGGTTGACCAATCACAATGTTGGTGAATCTTTTCAGATTATTTGAAAACGCTATTACACTCCAACTTACCACCGAAATTGTTTTTCACTTCAAACAAACGTGACCACTAAAAGCAAATGCGTCGGAGATAGCAAACGAACAATGAATTACTCACCTATGTCTGCTTTTAAAAAGACCTAGATGTTTTCAACAATATGCCTCGCAGCCACGTCTCGGCCCTCTCCCAATTGTAATCTTTGCTTCGCAAGCTCATTTGATTTTAGTTGAACCTTTCTAGCATTATGGCCGATGACCACCTGTGTCAGCGCGTCTCCAAGTTCCTTGGCACGGTATCTCGGTGCCGTATTCGGGCTAACCCATTTTCCGATACCAAGATACTCAGCCCGTTGAGCAAAGTCGTAAGTATCCGCCCAGACAGGTAGTACAACCTGAGGAACACCAGTCCTTCATCGATACCAGTCAGCTTTACTCCCCCTTGCGAGAATTACACTTTTATGGTCTCTCACCAAAGTGCTTCCCAAAATGAGTTCGCTCCACCGTGGTTGACCGAGCAAATGATGTTTCCTGTCTGCAGAACTGCATACGGCCCTGCGTCCACCTATTTCACAACCCTTACAGTGTCGTTGTCAAACTCGCTCCCCAAGATGATCTCAAGCCGACAGCCTTTGTTGTAGACATCGTAGTCGACATGCCCGTCGGTGGTCTGCTTCAGCTTCCACAGGACCTGAAGCCTTCTGTCTCTATTCTTCTCCCGCCAACCAGTGATAAGCAAACGTATGGCCTGTGCCATTTCAACGGCCTGATCTTCCGTGGTCCACGACAATGTCCCCAAGTTAATGAACACCGTCGGTCCTCGAGCGAGCCAGGTATGCAGCTTAGGATCGACTTCCTCGACTGCTGGGACTGGTCGCATTATGGGGCCACAGTGGATGATATTTTCCGGCTTCAAGTCGACTGGGAAGTCGAACTCTGGGCTGATCGCCATAAGCATCTTCAAGGTTGGCTGCGGATTACTGAACTCTTGCTGATCAAAGACCATAGCCCCGGTCTTCTCGGTTACATAAGCCCGTGCCCTACGGGCATGACTGTTGAAGATCATGAAGAATATGAGAAAGAACACGTATAGCACGTTTATTGGGATGAGGTGCCATGGTATTGGGAACGGAAGAGCGGTTCCCACACTGTCCATAGTCAAAAACGCGTTTGTTGTTGGCTTGGGAAGTGTTGTCTCTTACCACGGATACTTCCAGAAGAAAGCTGCTCTAGGTTGCTGCGGCAATGCAAGGTCCTTAAGTGTGTTGGGTGACAGGATCATCCACTTGATGCGCATATGTCGAGCCATCGTCAACTCCGGTATAAACATGTCGTCCACCAGAGTCAGATCTGGCTCCACCTCTTCAATGATTCGCCGAATTTCATTGCAGTTCTCCACCATTTCCAACCCGGTGTACGGCATGGAGCCCGGGCGATGATTCGTAAGACAGTGGGCATTGTTCGGAAGCTCGGTGCAATCTCAAGTAATCGTCTGCCACCAACCTCAGGGGAGAGTAAGGCCTTGAAGTAATGCGTCCCGCGAGTCTCATGAAACTCGATCGAGCTGGCGTTCGGATGGGCTTTTATACCGGCTTCAGAGGCAGCAGTTACTGCAGTCCTGATCGGTGCGAAGGACGCCAGATGGATCTCGACGTCAGGGTCCGTGCCCATCAGCGCGTGGCATGTTGCCAGGAAGATGTTGGCTTGACCATACTCAGATTTGGTGAGCATGAGCATCTTACGCTTTGGAGACATCCTTGAAATTGGAGCCGACAATAAATCGTCATGGGAGCATGTGAGATGAAAATAATCCTGAATCACAACGTTGTGATGTCTACCGACACAGACACCAGAGCGCGTTCGATGTTGTCAAATCGACCCCACGTAAAGTCCCGCAAGTCACCTCATTGGCTGAAATAAGCTTTGAGAGATTTCGCTTTTGTCTATCAAGCCATCAAATACCGAGTCGGCTTAGGGATTACTATTGTTCTGACTTCCGAAATGATGAAAGATAATTCTGATCGGTGAGGAGTTTAAGGCGCCACATGTGGCTGAGCGGGCTGCAGGTGGACACCGCTCTAAGCTCTGCGTGTGTGGCAATCGAAAGATAAACATGAACTTGAGCTTTACGTACTATTTATGAGTCGAATATACGGACTTTGCAGACGGTATTAATGCCAAACAACGCTTGGCAGATCGAAAACTTCATCCCAACTGTGCGATGTCCAAACAGTTCTCTGTCAATGAAATGACGGACAATATTTGATTGCAAGGGGAGGCGTAGCACGTTTTACTCGTATCATTCAAGTCATATTTGTCTCACAATCCACTCCGATGGTAGAAGCGTATGTTGGACAAACATGAAACCCGACGAAGAAGATGTTGAAGACCCTGTATGCCATTGAGGACGAGGTGTCTCACAACCCACAGCAGGTGGGTCTGAAGATTTCGACTGATCTTCTTTGCAACAAACCTAACCACGATATTCATCCAAAGATTGAGCGGTACTTGGTCATTTGGAAAACATCCAAATTCTGCAGCAAACATCCGGGCCATCGAGCCCGTGTACTATCATCGACGTTGCCGTAGCCGTGTCGGACGACTGCCCCACAAAATCCCGGACCTCGGACTTCTTGGCAATGCCGAGGTGCGAGGTAGCGGCCGGACAGGAGCACGAAAACGGTAAGGAATTCGGGAGAGCGCCATTGAGTGGGATGCAACGAGCCGGAGACAGATGCCGTCGTCGTCATCCTTTTCACAAAGCGTTGGGTTCTTATCTAGAAAACTTTCGCGGTGCTCAAACCATCATTGCATCAGTGCCTCACTAGGACCCAACTTCCAATATGATATAAGAGGAATGCGACGGATGATAAACCGCAAGGACGTTGACAGGTATCGGCCGAGAACGGATTTCCTTCTGTGATCAGGTTGGAAGAGCCAGGGTTGCTGCATCTGTCACTTCCCAACATGGCATGGTCGCCCTCATGCAGGCATGTCAAAATAAGCGCAGAAGTGGCTTGAACTCGTCGAGACACGTGGAATGATGAATCATAGACTTCAGCCGTACGCATATCAGGGGCCATTGAATAACAGCTTCGTGCATGGATCTCGATGGGAAATATGACCGGCGCCCAATAACACTCGGGATATTGTTGTTGACATCCAGATTGGAGGTGTGGTCCGTATTAAGTTGCAGCTTCATTGGGCGTCTGAACGGCTGGGGGCTAGGTTTGATGGTGCATGCGAAGTGCCAGGCCAACGGTATCCACTCCCACGCGGATGAGGTGGCCCCCAAACTGTCAGTCCGTCCCGAACCCTGTTTCTCGATCTGCGTCTATGTATCCGCACCGGGAAGATCGTTTATCATTGACATGTCTGATGGTGTCGCAGACCCTAGCCTCTGGCCAGGAACCTGACCACGATATATACCAAAGCCTTCGTCCGCATCTTAACCACCTTCAAGCTCCATCCTTGCTCGCATCATCAACGCACCAGCGCTATTAGGCAGCTCCTGACAATCCAGTGACAATGAGCTCACAAAGAGGTAAGCAATCTTGAATGCTTCAACTAAATCCCATCTAACAGCTTCTCAGGATCCTTCGGGTACACCGACCCAAACTTCCCCCCGCCTACAGGCGAATGGGACACGCCCGTAATCATCTACGGCTACACCCCATCCATCGCTCTCGCCGGCCTGGCAGCCGCCCTCTTCTTCATCCTCCTCCTCGTCCACACGGCCCAGCTCGTCCGCCACCGCAGCTGGTACTTCGCCACCTTCCCCGTCGGCCTCCTCTTCGAAATCGTCGGCTACGTCGCGCGCTCGCTCTCCGCCAAGAAGAACCCCTACAACCTCATCTACTTCATCCTCAACTACTTCTTTATCGTCACCGCCCCCGTCTTCCTCGCCGCGGGCATCTACACCATCCTCTCGGCGCTCATCCACCGCCTCGGCCGCGGCTTCTCGCCGCTCCCGCCAAAGGTCGTGCTGTGGTTCTTCATCTCGTCGGATGTGATTGCGACGATCACGCAGATCTCGGGCGCGGCGCTGATTGGGGTGAAGCAGTCGCGCCGCGAGGACCCGACGACGGCGAATAATATTTTGTTGGGTGGTTTGGCGTATCAGGTGTTTTCGATCGGGTGCTTTGTGGTCACCACGGGCATTTTCCTCTTCAGGGCGAGGCATATGATCAGGGAGCATCGGCTGACGGTCTTTGTGGCGGCATTTTCGGCGGCGACGCTGCTTGTGTACCTGCGTACATGTTTTCGTCTCGCGGAGACTGCGGAGGGCTTGGGAGGGCACCTGTACTCGAACGAGGTCTTCTTCGGCGTGCTTGAGTTTGCGCCAGTGGTGTTGGCTGTGATACTCTTCGCGGTGTGGCACCCTGGCCGATGCGCTGCCACGAAGGTTTCGGGGGGTCTGGGGGATGTCGAGAAGGCGAGGATACCGAGTCACGAGTCTGCTCAGAAGTAGAAGGAATCGCTGAGGAATACACATTCATGTCTACTTGCAACCTCTAAACTCCAAAGTCCCCGGGCCACCTCACATGACCTATGTCTCCCATACGCCATAATCGTAATGCATGTTCATCATCGCGTTGCAGCCGCTTCCATCCTCAACCAGCATGCGATCTAGGCATGCCGATTCCTCTAGCATCAATCACTGCCCACAAACGCTTCTCCAGAGCCGTTCCTTCCTCGCTGCACATCTGACCAAATGCCCCAAAGCCAGGCACTATCTTGGGCTTCGTCTCGATGAAGCGCCAGCGTGCTTTGATGGTCCACTCGACCAGCTTGCGCATGTCGTACGGCTGACAGAGCCGCCGCTCCATAGCCCGGCGGACCTTGAGTGCCGAGTCGTACGCCAACCTGTTGATGGTCGTCTCCACGTCCTTCGCCATAGTTGTGAAGCCCAGCGGAACATCGTCCAGCTCCTTGCACATGGGATACCGCTCTAGCACCTTCGCCTTTGTCTCGAACGTCAGAAGAAGGAACTCTTCGAGCCAAATCTTGGCAGCGTCTTTGCCACCCTCTGCCATGAGATCCTCGATCCCAAGCGCTACGCGCTGTCTCTTATGGAACTTGATGGAGTCGAGCTCAGTGTCGAAGGTGAAGCCGGGCAAACTGTGGAGCACGGCTCGAAGTGGGTGCGGGTGGCGGTCCGCGGCTCTGGTTGGCGAAGATGCGCCGCTGTCGCCGACAAGGAGGCGATCGAGCTCCGATGAGAGCCTGGCATCGGTGGCCCTAGCTTTCCATTTGCCGCTGGATCTCTTCTTCTCGATACCTCCTGTCGATGCTCTCTTGGGCGCAACAGGGCTCTTGCTACGATTCGCCTTTTCGCGCTCAACCCATCTGGAGTCGCGGGCGTTCTGGCGCTCTCTCCGGGCTTTGGCTTGCTCGATGAGCTCTCGCGGGGTGAACTCGGGTGATGATGGATGCTCCTTGGATGTGTTTGGTGACGAGGTGCGGGTGATGGATATGACTGATTCAGGGAAGGGCGTGGTGAGACGATGGGTGCTGAGCTGGACCGTGGCGTCGTCGATGCGCATCTCCATGTCGCTCGGCTCCTCAACCAGCGCCATCTTCGGAGCTGGCTGCCGAGACCCGGAGGATGACCGAAGCCGTGGCGGGATGAGGGGAGCGGCCCGGCGTGAGGAGAAGTGAGGATGGCGAGTCAGACCACGGCTGATCTGCTGCGCCGCCGTTAGCGATCCCGTTCGTCGGAAGTGAGAGGCGATGGTCCAACCGCGATAAATGATGCCTGCCAAGAAAGAGCCAAGAAGCAACGACGCCGTCAACCGATGCGGATAGGAATCGTGTGGGGAAGCGAGTGACAGCGACGGACGACGTTGAGATGGACAAACTCGGAATGTTTCAGTTACATCGGGGAGAAAAAAGTCAGAATTAAGCTTGCGGGTAGGGCTGCCGATTTGTGGGGCCACCAACCGTTTGCCGGCGTCGAAGGTCAATTGGAAGGGACGCGGAAGCAGGGACCCAGGAAAGAGCCGTCCGCCTCTTCTTTCCCGAAAAGAAAGTTTTTCGATATTTATTTGTAGGTAATGTCAATCACTCATTGCCCTCCGATGCCAAATAAAGACCAACTATATCGTGTGTATTCGTTCTCATTATCATGCCGAAGTCTAAATCCATTCACTATGCTGTACCAACCCAAAAGACGCTGAGCCCGTAGAAATGTTGTGACTAGCCTAAAGCCCAGGTCTGATCCGGAGTCAAAGAAGCCTTTTAAATTCCCATTGTCAAGCCGACTGCCGGTTGAATGAAAAGTGCTGCACTTCAGGTACCTCGAGCAAGGTGTAGTTGCTGTCAATGTACCACCAGCCCTTGTACTTCTCGGGCTTCTCGGCTGCAGGCCTGATCTTGCTCTTCTTGGGAATGTCGAACTTCTTTGTCGTCTTGCTCTTTTTGACGTAGCTTTTGGCGACATCGGAGTCCGCAGTCTGGTTGTAGTTGATTTCATTCGAGTCGACTTGGCCATTGATCAACTCTTCCCAGGTGCGATGGCTGTCGATGAGAACATCCTGCATGAAGGTGACGTTCTGGTACCAGTCGCCGACGATATCGATGACTGGGTCGCCTCGGGCAACCTTGTAGTACTGCGACTAATGTTAGTGTTCTGAACAGTATATATAGACGCTTCGACATACAGTCCACCAGTCTCTGAAGGTCTTGATAGTTCCAGGGCGGTACTTTTCAACATCTTCCCAGGCTTCAAAGTGTTAGCTTATCCCAATCAAATC